GCGGTGCCCCTTGCTACGTATGAGGGCATAGCGAGGAGGAGGACATGCCATGACAATTCCAACCTGCAGACCCATCTTTCCCCTGCCAACTCGCAATGGCGTTTCGACTATCGCGCCATTCCCGGAGAGTTGTGGGAGGAGAGGAGGGGGGATGATTGGACGGGGGTGGGGCCGGAGAGAGAGAGAGAGAGAGAAGAGGGAAAGGGGTCACATGGGGGACCTGCTCCACAGACCCTCGAAGTGACTAGGGCGGCCCTGCTTCACAGCAGGACAGCTCGTCATCCCAGGGGCGAAAGAGGAGGGCCTGCTGCACAGCAGGACGGGGCACCAGCCACGGCTGACAGATGGGACCTGCTCCACAGCAGGGCGGATCGTCACCAGTAAGGGAGAGTCCTGCTCCACAGCAGGACAGATCACCTTTTGGGGTTACAGGAGAGGGGCACGGAGTCCCAGAGAAAGTTGACGACAACATACGGTGTCATACGTGTGCGGCGCGACGGGGGAGGCAAGGGAAGCAACGAGCAAGGCAAAGGGAGAAAGAGGATTGGTCGGAGCAAGGTGGGGTGCGAGATAGCCGCCTCGCGCGAGCGAAAGAAATAGGTGCAGAATTGCCAACAATGCCGCCGGGCTGTGCCCTGGAGGTGGGTATCTCGCGTTGGGTGAAGGGGGCATGGGCCAGAGCATGATGCACACAGAGAGCACAAACCCAGGGCAGATGGAAATGGGGTTGTGCAGGGCCCCCAGCATTGCCGCCGGGCTGTGTCCTGGAGGCCAATGCCTTGTCCATGGAGTGTGTGCATGACCGCCGACCTTCCCGCCAGCGTTGGCTTGTGTCCCGAAGGTAAGTATCTCCTGTGTGCACGCTTGTATGCAGAACTGCTGGTGTTCCACCTGGTATGTGTCCTGGAGGGTGGGTAGGTACCTCATGGGTGCACGTTTGCGGGGTACGCAGGACACCAGCATTGCCGCATTGCCGCAAGGCTGTGTCGTGGAAGTCGGTGCCGCATCCGTGCACGTTTGTGGTGTACACAGCAGCGCCAGCATTGCCGCCAGGGTGTGTCCTGGAGGTCAGCACCTCCTGTGGATAGAGGGGGGAAGGGAGGAGGGGGAGGAGGCGCAAGCGGAGGTGGAGGAGGAGGCGAAGTCGGCGGCGGAGGCGGAGGAGGCGGACGGGAAGGAAGAGGAGGAGGAGGAGGAGGAGGTGGAGGCTGCGGCTGCGGCGGCGGAGGCGGAGGCGGACGCGCGGAGAAGACGGACGAGGAGGGCGCAGAGGAGGAAGAGGAGGAGGAGGAGGCAGACGCGGAGGAGGAGGAGGAGGAGGCGGAGAAGGAGGAGGAGGAGGAGGCGGAGGAGGCGGAGGAGGACGAGGAGGAGGAGGACGAGGAGGAGGAGGAGGAGGAGGAGGAGGCGGAGGCGGAGGCGGAGGCGGCGGCGGCGGCGGAGGCGGAGGGGGCGGGGGCGGAGGAGGATGCCGCGACGGCGGCCCCGATGCCCCAGCCGCGGCTCCCTCCCCCCGACTGGCTGGGCGGATATGTCGCCCGTGGCGCGCCGCGCGGCCTGCCGGCGGAGCGCGGCCCGTGGCCACGGCGCGCTCCGCGCCGCCGGCTCCGCGGCGGGGGCCCTGCTGCGCGGGGCGCCGGCCGAGGGGCAAAGCGCCCCGCTGGCCCGAGGTCGGACGGGCCGCCTGACCGACCCAGGGGCAGCGACAGGGGGCGCCACCCAGACCTCCTCGCGCCGTGGAGAGATCACGACGGGAGCTATGCTCGGCCTCGGGGGCCCTTGCCCGGCGCCGTCTCGGGATGAAAGGCCGGTCCCGGGGGAGGGGTCCAGACCTCTGGGGGTCGACGTTGAGAAAAGAGCACGGCGTCGGGAGTGGAGGTGCATCGACCCCCAGTCGCCCACTGATCGCCGATGGGGGTCCCCACGCCGCCCAGGAAAGCGCGGATTCACGATCGGGGGCCATCGCCGATCTATTGGCGATGGATCTTGGCGGCCGAGGGGCCGAGCGCCCCGCCAGCCCGAGGTCGGACGGTCCTGGAATCGAGGTACATCCGTTCCAGAGCGTTCCAGATCACTCTCAGAGCGTTCCGAGGCGCTCTGGAACGGCCGCGGCGCCCGATACAGCCTCCAAGCCCGCCGATTCTCGGAGATTTCCGAATCATATTGGCCCGATGTTGTCTCGATTCTGCCTTCGTCGTACGAGGCTCGGGAGCCGCCCGACCGACCCCTGCCTCGGTGAGATCGGAAGTCAAAAGGAAATGCAGACATGTATGGAAACACGTGGATTTACGACGGGTTCTGTTTCCATGTCGAGTCGGAGCGCTACGTCGCCACATCAGGCGGCACTGGCGCCATGTCTCGGGGGGAACGCTCCCCGAGCCGTGGACATCTGGCACCCGCGCGCCAGGTCCCTGCGCGCCCGAGAAGGAGACGTTTTTTTCCCCTGGCGAGAACTGGCGTGACTCGGGGGAGGGGAGGGGGAGGGGGAGGGGGCTGGTCACGCCACGACTCGCGTCGCCGCCGGTTGGGAGTACTTAAGAATGTCTCATTCCCAGACGGCACCTGCGCGAATCGTGGCGTGGCCAGAGGAGGGGAGCGGCGGGTGGGGCGGGGCCGGCTACGGGCGCCATCGTGACTGAGTCAGATACTTGCTCGAGTGGGCATGGAAAGCAAGGGTACCAGGACCAACAGCGGCCCCTGCCCATGCTGAAGAGCCTGCGCAAAACGGCGGCTGCTGTCGGCGTGCGCATCGTACCCATGTTCCCACGTCGGGCGTTCCAGCTGTCAGAGGAGTGCCAGACGAGAGGGCGGCGGCCCTCCTGATGTCCTTCGTTCTTCTTGGTCCCCCTGGGGGCTTCTCGTCGCGACGGCTGGACGCGCGTCGCAGAACTGGTCAGGGTGGACCTCCCGAGGGGGCCGGGGACTGACTCTGAGTGACGTCGGGCCAGGCGGGAGACCTGCCTCAACACCGGCCCTCCCCCGGTGGCAAGCGGGCCCCCTCCGCGACGGACACCTCGCCTCATTCCAAGACGCGGGCAGGCCGACGTGCGTGGTCAAACCTCCATCGTGGGCAGGCGGACGGGAGGGGCTCGTCACGGAGGGTGTCGGTCAGGCTGCGCGCGCGAGGCCACCCGCGGGCGGAGCTGGCGCCGAGCTCGGGCGCTGCCACGGCCGGCCCTGGCCCAAGGTCGAGACCTCGGGTTCGCGGGAGGAGGTCGCCCACAGGCCTGCCGTCGATCGGGACAATCGAAGCGGGTAATTACGGAAGCCATGGGTGCAGAGTGCAGCAGCAGTTCTTGCTCATTCTGAGCCGTGTTTTCCGTGTCGGCGTCGCCGCGGTCGTTGCCCATTTGAGGCAGAAGGCCGCCTGCCAGACAGCGGCTGCTGTCGGTGTTGGGCAACACGTACCCCTGTCGGCCGTACAGACTTTGTGCTGCGGGCCCGCTTCGGGCCATTGGAGGTCACTCCGGGACCGATTCTGGCAGGGCTTAAGCGTCGGGACGGGCGGCCTCTGCGTGGAGGCCCATGTGGCCTCCCCGTGCGCCCCCGTCGCGAGGCCCAGAGGTGAGGGGGACACGGGAGAGCTCCGGCAGGGTGCGCGAACAGCTGGTGGGGCAGTCATCGAGCCAGGAGCGCCACCCCCTGGGCCTTCACAACATCCCGGGGCCCTGACAACATCCCAGAACACTCGCCAACATCCCTGGGCCCTGACAACATCCCTGGGCCCTGAAAACCTCCCTGACAACATCCCTGCGCCAACCTCTGACGAAGCTGTTCGCGCCGCTTCCCTGGGCCCTCACAGCATCCCACGGCACTCGGGCGACCGCTCGGGACGGCCCTGGGCTCCCCGCGCAGCCGCGGAGGAGGCGCAACCGCTGGAAAGAACGCCAGGTCCCGAAGAAGGCCAGAGGCATGGGGGAGTGTCCCGAACAGATGGGGGGGCGCACCCCTCCCTCAGATCTGACTTTGCCAAAAAGGTACACATCGCTGAGAATCACCGGACCCCATCTTGCTGCGTCATCCTTCGAGCCGGATGGATCTGTGAGGGCCCCGGAGCCCGAAACTGGACGGAAACGCCCGACGTCAAAACAAATGGGACGCCAGGATTCAGCCACGCGCAGAAGTTGGGAAGAGGGGTTCGGGGGAGGGGTGAAGCCTTCTTAGAAGCACCCCTGCCTCTTAGAAGGCGCGGGCCTTGTCTGTTTTGGTAGATGTAGGCCCGGCGCCTCGTAAGCAGCAGCCTCCTGCTGCGAAGCCTCCTCCCCCTCCCTCGACCCCCGTATATGCGCGCCGCCAAGCTTGGGCCAGGGACACCCCCCTGGCAGCCTCCGACGAGCCCGCCGCCGCCCCGCCCCCGCGACCGGCTGCCGGACGCCGCGGCCGCGGAGGCGCGGTGGCACGCCGCCTCCGCTGCGCGGGGCGGGGGCTCCTCGGCGCCCGCGCTGGCGAGCGCCAGCGTCGGTGCCGTCAGGGCGAGTGCCGGCCGGGCGGATGCCGCTCGCGCAGAGGCGCTCGGTGGTTCCAAGATCTTGGCATCGCCCGGACGTGCGCATGTTTGTTCCCGGCGAGGCCCATCGACTAAAATCGTGGATCATGTCGAAGCAGTATGTGCATAAAATGAACGCACGAAGCCGAAAATCGCGCGGGGAGCGGGCGAGCGAGCGATGGCAAGAACATGGGGTCTGGAGGGATGGGCCCTGAGGCCGAGGTGCTTCAAAGGGTGTAGGTCCACCCTTGGACCCCGTCCTGTCCCTATAGGACCTCGGGACCCCATCTTTGAGCCAGCGAGGCGTGGCTGGCGCGGCTGTGCGCAGCCGCCGGCCCTCTGACGCCGGGGGCGCGCGCCTACAGCTCGAGGATCAGACAGTGGCATGGACACAAACTGTCGGGGGTCCGCCCTGATTTCTTGGATCGGCGCAGCGCCGTCCCAGATATCCGCGCTGACCTCTGCAAGTTCATGTGTGTGTGTGTCATTAGCTGTTCCCCGAACAACGCGGTCATCCACGCGTGCGCGCGTGCGGCTGACGTGGCGCGCGCCGAGCATTGGCTGCTCGACATGATCGACAGGGGCGTCCAGCCGAACGTCTTCAGCTTCAACGCGGTGCTGGCGGCATGCGCGGAGTCGGAGGACCTCGCGTCCGCGGAGAGGTGGTTCGGGCGCATGGAGCGAGCCATGCTGCCACCCGACGCCGTCAGTTTCCGCACGATGGTGGGGGCGTGCGCTCGGACGGGCAAGGCTGGAGCGGCCAAGGCTTGGCTGGCGAGGATGCTGGCGGCGTCCTTCGCCCTGGACGTGGTGGCGGGCAGTTCGGCGGTGGCCGCTTGCGCCGCCAGCAGTGACCCCGGCGGCGCCGAGGGCTGGCTGCGCCGGATGGAGCAGGCCGGGCTCAAAGTCGGGCGGGCAGGCTACGACCCTGTCGCCCGAGCCTGGGCGGCCGGCGGCCAGGGTGTGCCGCCGTCGCCGCTCCGAGCCGAGGGCTGGCTGTGGAAGGCCCTGGAGGCCGGAGTCGAGCCCACGGACGCGGCCCTCCTCGCAACGCTGGCCGCCTTCGCTCGGGCCGACGACGCCGAGGGTGCGCAGCGCGTGGCCGACCTCATGCGGCGCCTCGGGCGCTGGCCCAGCCCGGCGGCGACGGCGGCACTCGCGGCGCCGCACGCGGGGGCGGGCGAGTTCTGGCGGGTCGAGGAGCTGGTGGAGGACCTGAGGCGCGACGGCGGGAAGCCCGACGCCGGGTGCCTGCGCGCCCTGCTGGCCGCCTACGCGAGGGCACCGGAGCCTCCCCGGGACGGCAGGGCCGAGGCCTGCTTCCGGCAGCTGCTCGCCCTCGACGCCGGCGCGGCGGGCTCCTGGAGCGAGGCGCTCGGAGACCTGCGCCGGGCGCTGGGGCGGCAGAGGTACGCTGGAGCGGCAGCGGCGCTGTCGCTGCCGTCGCACCCCAGGATCCGCCGCCAGGACCACGCCAGAGGCAGAGTCGTCGGCGCCAGCGAGGTAATCGGGCCGTGCGCGGAAAGGCCGTCCGGCTCGGCAGGCCGCTCGCCTTGACCCAGCCCGCCCCGAGGGGCAGCAGTCCCGAGGCCCAACTCGCCATGTCCACGAGGGTCAGGGCCATCATAAGCCACCACTATACTCAGCCGCCGGCACAGCATACTGGAGTTCTGATTTTTGAATGCTCAGGGCTGCGGTCGTGGGGCTGACTAGGAGCTCTGTGGCGGCCAATGGATCCATGCACGACTGGAGTCTTCCTTTCCCTGGTGACGCGACACTGCGTCGGCTTCTTGGTTGCGCAATGTCTCGGATGTTGTGTATTGATGCTTCCAAATTGTAGTTGGTGTGGTATTGCCACCCATGGCGCCAGTCTCCCAGAGTGCACTCCGTTGTTTTGTTCTGGTTGTGCTGGCCGTGCTCATTGAGCCACTGCTTCCCACGTACGTTTCGCATTCCATTCAGCATCGACACAGGCTTGTCCAACACCCACAATGTCCGAGCCCGTTGGCGCTTTGTGTAGCACTCCCAGAGGGTAGAGGATGTCATTACCTATGGCAGGAAACCGTCGTAAGAGTCCAGGAAGCGTGTCGGCCCACCCGGCCGAGTATGCAACAGATTGCGTTCGAGCAGCATTCCGTAAGCCGGCGATTCCCAAGGCGCAATGGCAGCCCGAATTGTTCGACTCAAGTGGTACATCGTCCCCCCACGCAATCGGCCTTACCATGCCTGTTCTGACATAGTTCTTAAAATTATTGACGCTTCGCGTATCCCCATCAGCCTTTTTGCAGCCCCGCCTCCACTCCGGCGACTTCCTGGTCCCGTTCTGAGTGCCGGTTCTCGGCCTGCTTCTGCTTGGCTAATTAGCACCTCGTGCGGCCCGCCTGGACTTTGACACGCCGCTGTTGCGCTCTCGCCCGCGGCTGTTGACAAAAAGTACCCCCCATCAGCCCATCCAGAGTCGATGCCCAGCGGAGCTGCCTCGAGAAAGGAATGGGAAGTGGACAGCACACAGAGGAAGGGTCCCTCTTGGAGCGCTCTTGGGACATTCTTGGGTGCTCTTGGGGCCGTCTTGGGGCTAATGATGGGAGCTCAAATTACGACCCCCCCTCGGGAGCCCCCAAAGTCGCCTCTTGGGCGTTCTTAGAGCCCTGGGGCCGTATTGGAGCTCTATTGGGCCTCTCTTGGGGCCCTCATGGGCCCTATCTTGAGGCCTCGGAAGGCCACCGGAAGCGAAAAGGCGAGAAGGCACAATTAATTGATTTCAGCTGGTCTTTGAACGATGTTGGCCTCTTGCCGGCCTCATTGGGAGGATCCGTGGCCACTCGGAGCCGTCTTGGATGGGGCTTCTTAGAGCATCTTGGGAGCCATGTTGAGGCATCTTGGGCTATCTTGAGCCGTCTTGGAGGTCATCTTGGGCTCTCTGAGGCCCTCCTAGAGCCGTCCTGGGCCATCTTGGACGCTCCAACGACCCGCGACTCCACCCCTCCAGGTCCAGGGGAGTGGGTGCGGGGGAGGGGCAGACCCTTCCCCGAAGGTTGGAAGAGAAAGCTGTCTAGACCACCTACGCCCTGAGGGCTGGTGGGATTTCGAGAGCCGCTGATCGTGTGCCTCAGCGATGGGTTTCGATATGGGTGTGCCGTGCGCAATATATGGTCGGCACAGCACAGTAGTATAGGAGAAGCCAGGCAGTGTTTGGAGAGGGGAGCTGCTATAAGAAGTCAAGTAGATTCCTTCCCCTTCCGGTCTAATAATTGTTGTGAATTGAGGAGTGGCAGCGTGAGAGCGCAATATCGTCATGCCCCGCGCCGCCAATGGGTAGTCGCATGTCCAGTCTCCGTGCGCCGCCTCAGTCAAATGTGGCGGGCAAGGTGCCTGCCTCTGTTTGGCACCACACAGCAAGGCTCCCCGAATGAATGGTGACGTGGCAAACATATAGCAAAGCACATTACATCCTTCTCCATCCTCTCCCTCTCTCCTCCTGCTTGCGTCCTGCCTCATGCCCGCGGTTGCCTTGGGTGTCGTCACTTGCGCAGCGGAGGTGCCGTGGGCTCCTGAGAGGCCCAGCGGAGGTGCGTTTTACGCAGATCACCGCGAGACCTCGTCGTCCCCTGGGGGGTTGCGATCAGCGAAACTGTCGCCACTTTCGTGGGCTCCTGGCAGGCCCAGCGGAGGTGCGCCTTGCGCAAATCACCACGAGGCTTCGCCGTCCCATGGGGGCTGCGATCAGCGAAACTGTCGCCTCTTTCGTGAGTTCCTGGGAGGCACAGCGGCGGCGCGTCTTACGCAGAACACAACGAGACCTCGCCGTCCCTTGGGGGCTGCGATCTGCGAAAGTGTCGCCACTTTCTCGGGCTCCTGGGAGGCCCAGCGGAGGTGCGTCTTCCGCAGGTCACAGCGAGACCTCGCCGTCCCCTGGGGGGCTGCGATCTGCAAAACTGTAGCCACGTTCGTGGCCTCCTGGGAGGCCCAGCGGAGGTGCGTCTTACGCAGATCACAGCGAGACCTCGCCGTCCCTTGGGGGGGCTGCGATCTGCAAAGCAGTCGCCACTTTCGTAGGCTCTTGGGACGCCCAGCGGAGGTGCGTCTTATGCAGATCACCATGACACCTCGCCCTCCCCCCGGGGGGGCTGCCATGTGCGAAAGTCGCCACGTTCGGGGGAGTCCTAGGAGACCCAGCGGAGGTGTGCCTTACGCAGATCACCGCGTGACCCCTGGGGGGCTGCGAGTTGCGAAATTGTCACCATTTTCGTGAGTTCTTGGGAGGCCCAGCGGAGGTGCGTCTTACGCAGATCACCATGGGACCACGCCGTCCCACTTTCGTGGGCTCCTGGCAGGCCCAGCGGAGATGCGCCTTGCGAAGGTCACCAGTAGACCTCGCCGTCCCCCTGGGTGGCTGCGATCTTCGAACATGTAGCCACTTTCGGGTGAGTCCTGGGAGTACCAGCGGAGGAGCGTCCTACGCAGATCACCACGAGGCCTCGCCGTCACATGGGGGTCTGCGATCTGCGAAAATGTAGTACTTTCGTGGGCGGCTGGGAGGCCCAGCGGAGGTGTATCCTACGCAGATCACCATGAGACCTCGCCGTCCCTTGGGGGAGGGGGGGTCGCGATCTTTGAAACTGTCGCAGTTTTCGCTGGCTCCCGGGAGGCGCAGCGGAGGCGCGTCGTACGCAGATCATCATGAGATCTCGCCGTCCCCTGGGGGGCTGCGATCTGAAAAACTGTCACCACTTTCGTGGGCTCCTGAGAGGCCCAGCGGAGGTGCGTCTTACGCAGATCACAGCGAGACCTCGCCGTCCCTTGCAGGGCTGCGATCTGCGAAACTGTCGCCACTTTCGTGGGGTTCTGGGAGGCACAGCAGAGGTGCGCCCTCACCATGAGACCTTGCCGTCCCCCGGGGGGCTGCGATCTGCGAAACTGTCGCCACTGTCGTGGGCTCCTGGGAGGCCCAGCGGAGGTGCGTCTTACGCAGATCACCATGAGACCTCGCCGTCCCCCTAAGGGGCTGCGATCTGCGAAATTGTCGCCACTTTCGTGGGCTCCTGGGAGGCCCAGCTGAGGTGCGCCTTGCGCAGATCACCATGAGGCCTCGCCGTCCTCTGGGGTGCTGGGTTGCGACGTTGGGGTGTCATGCGGCGCTGCTCCCACAAATTATGTCTCAAATCGTCTCCTCCTTATTGTGTTTCCACACTCCCTCGAGGCCGCCTTCCTACTAACGATCGTACTCTTAAGAGCGACGCCGCAGATGTGAACATGTGACTCTGGCCCGACGTTCTTTGGCGAGTCGTTCAAGTGCACGGCGGATTCTTCAGTGCTCACTTTTGTATTGAGCGGTCCGATGTACAGCCGCCTCATGTGTACGAATGGTTGGGTGCGTCCCTGGGTAATGCTGTCTACTCCCGCTGCGTTGTCTGGATCACATATAACCTGCGAGCTATCCATACATGTTATGTTATACGTGTGTATACCTATACGACCACCCTGCGGGTGATAAGGAGGTTGGGGGGGGGAGGGCCCCAGCAATGGGCAACAGTTGTGATTGCTGTTGTGACGATGCCAATGGAGAGTGTTGCGTTGCCGCTCGCTCTTGGGAGCGTCGGTGTCGAGTTGTTTACATCACCCTTCGTTCTTTGGCGCCTTAGTACCATTCGTCCCCCCCCCTGGGTACCTGCCCAACCTGCCCAACGGCAGCCAACGGCGGCATGTGGTCACAGAATATTGGAGCGCTGGCAAAGGCTGGCGCAGCCCGTGCCACCTCTTGCACTATCGATCTCACTATCGATCTCATTCAATCGATCTCACTCGATCAATCTCACTATCGAAATCAAAATCGATATCATCATCGATGTCTCTCGGCCGGTTTCACTATCGATCTCACAATAGATCTCACTATCGATCTCACCATCGATCTTTACTTGTCGAGCATTTCGGCTAGCAAAGCCTGGCCCCTCGTAGCGAAGCCGAAGGAAGTGCGTGACCGAAGTGGGCGCGTTTCCGGCCCCCCCGCGTGCCGAGTGAAACAGAAGCCTTGGGCCGAAATCTCTGAATGGTAAGAAAGTTGACGGGGGGGCGGACCCAACGTCTCATTCAATCGATCTCGCAATGGACCCTACCATCGATTTCACAATCGATCCTTCCCGATCGATCACCGTCATCATCAACAACACGGGTCGTCACCATCAGCATCATCAACAACAACATCAACATCATCATCATCATCAACATCATCAGCATCACCATCAACAACACCATCATCATTTTCAGCGCCATCATCATCACCATCATCATATTCACCATCATCAACAACAACATCATCATCATCATCATCAGCATCATCATCATCATCATCATCATCATCATCATCATCATCACCGGGACACCGACGGGGCACAAGCGGGACACCGCGGGCCCCCAGACGCCCGGACGGCAATCATTTGGTCCGGCCGCGCCTCAGCCACACGGGACCCCAGCGGGACACCGGGCGGGACACCGCGGGCCCCCAGACGCCCGGACGGTAATCATTTGGTCCGGCCGCGCTTCAGCCACACGGGACCCCAGCGGGGCACCGGGCGGGACACCGCGGGTCCCCAGACGCCCGGACGGCAATCATTTGGTCCGGCCGCGCCTCAGCCACACAGGACCCCAGCGGGACACTGGGCGGGACGCCGCGGGCCCCCAGACGCCTGGACGGCAATGATTTTGTCCGGCCGCGCCTCAGCCACAGGAGACTTTCTCTCGCCCGCCCACGCAGTTTCGCCTCGCCCGCACGCACGGCACGCACGAACACGAAACCGAAATCGATTTCCCGGTAAGGGGGCTCTCCGTTCCACTTCGATGTCACCCCCAACCTCCGATATAGGCCACGACCTCGGCTCCTGGCGGAAGAGCGTATACGGCAGAGGCCTGGGTGCATTCGGCCCCGCAGGGACGTGACACCCCGAACGGGCCGTGGCGTTCGAAGGAGCCCGCACTGCCAGGCCCCGCCGCCTGCGGATTAGCGCCAGTACACAGGGCGCTGGCAACAGAAACCGACGGCCGCCGCACCACTTGCGCTGTTGGTGGACGACCGCCACACACCAACACCCAACACAGACACACACACACACACACACACACACACACACACACGCACAACATGTCCATGCATGCGCAGACGAGGACCCCGTACAGGAGTGCAGCCAAAACAGGTATGGAATATATGAAATAATCAACCCCGCTGTGGGGGTACCCGAGCGGGTCAGGGGAATCGGGTGCCTGCAGATCGCCCCTTGTACGAAAACTTTCGATGTCCTCCCAAGTAGGTAAATTTGGAGGTCATGTGATTATTCCGTCCCCTTCTCCTCTTCTTCCTCCTCCTCTCATATTTCCTCCTCTAGCACTGCTTAGCGTGCTGGTGCGCGTCTCGCCTTGGGCATTCTTCGGGCTTGA